TTTTTTATGATTATTTGCGAATCGTGTTTGCTCTTCCACAGAAGAGAGGGACGGGGTGAGCAAAGCTCATTAGCATGTAAAGAGATATGCACCAAAACGAGTCGCTGTGAACAGAGCTGTTTTTGACAAGGTAAAAAGGGTATTGTTTTACACGACCACTGTGACCATTTCAAGAATACCCTAAAGAATCATACCAACTTGTGGAAAATGGGCATCCGATGTCCCCTTTGAAGCACAGCCACCACAAAATCAGACTTACTTTAAAATCATTCTGTGGTTAAATACATATTTAAAATCATAACAAGAAATAGTTTAATAGCTATGATACTGTTTTTGAAATCAAATCTTTGCATAGCTATGACAGGAAACACTGGAATCTAACAATGCCTTAGAAAAAACTGTTAATCTTAAAAAAATAAAGCATATACATAAGCATGTTATAAACTTCTGAAACATTGGTGTTTCAATTTATGAAGAACTCAATTAAATCTGTATGTGGGAGTGTGTGTGAAAAAAGCAGATGTAACCCCCTTTGTAATCCTTAACATTTTCATAAGTAACTGTAATTTAATTACATGTTTTTTCTCAGTAACTGTAACTGATTACAATTACTTTTATTTTGTAATTAAATTACGTAATTCCGTTACATGTAACTAGTTAGTCCCCAACACTGGTTATAGTTTCAACAAGTTCTAGTGCTTGCTTCTGATTAGTCAGTACAGCGGCGGTGGTAATGTAAAACGCCTGTTAGCAATACATCGTTATTTGTTGAGTAGGAGGCCTAACGGGTTTTTTAAATGACTTTTAATTGCAAAATCTGGTCCTAAATATTTTTATTGTGTAGGGTTTTATATTAAAAACAATACGGCACTCAAAATAGGCTACTTTATTGTGAATGTATGGCTAAGAATTTTCCTGCAGTGCCTAATGAAAATCATAACAGTGACTATATTATCGCAATTTAGCACAGCCTCTCCTAACATTAATTTTCGTAGCATTATTTCTTCCCTTTAAAATTTCTGCGATTTTAAATAGGCTATAGCCTATTATGCGCCTCTATAGCATTGAAACGCACCGTTTATGGTTTATGTGCCACTTCAGATGCAGATTAGCTATGTGTTACGTTTAGTGTAACTGGTAACAAATTTAAATGCAATATACAGGTTCAAGAGGGTTTTTCCTCGCATGAAGCAATCTGTCATCATCTGTGCAACAGATCTAAAATGATTCTAAAATGAACTCAAGTGACTGCAAAAGTACGTTCGTCTCCCTGTCCGAGGTTCTGAACGCTGGTCACGTGACGCCACTGCCTCATTCAGCAGTGAGCGCGCGCACTGGTTATAGAGAATTTCACGGGAGAACGCGACAAACCATCACTCGCATACACTGTAGCCTAATTCTCCCCGCTCACTGCGTCACAGAAGAGGTAATGGGAGGCATTTCGGTGTCTTTTTCCAAAGCCTGAACGCATTCGACTACATTACGATGGTACAGTTTGGCATTCTTCGTTTTTCTCTGCGCTTCTTCCCTACTTCATGCCAAGGCGGTGATTGCAGTGGATGGGCAGAACGTGCCAGGCTTCGTTTCTAATCCAGAAAGTGCCCGTCTGCTCGGGGATCTGGCGCTAAGAAGATGTAAGGACCGAAACAAGCCTTTTCCCCCCAAACCAGCATCTTCTTCACAAAAATGCAGAAGGGAATTCGACTTAATGATGGTCATGTCACCTACCTGGGTCTTTTGGCAAAGAAAGATGGCACGAGGCGAGGCTGCTTAAGCAAAAAGAGCTCCGACAACACAAAATGGCACACCAAGTGGTTTGCTCTGTTGCAAAATATGCTTTTTTATTTTGAGAGCGAGTCCAGTTCGCGACCCTCGGGATTATACCTGTTGGAGGGATGTGTGTGTGACAGGTCGCCCTCACCCAAACCTTCCCTGTCAGCCAAGGAGTGCTTAGAAAAACAGGTACGAAACAAACGGAACGACAACTTTGCTTCATACTTCTGTAATGCTGATGCAGAGCCTTAGAATAGAGTTACTTTTGGGGTAAAGCAACTAAAAACGGGCATTCTGTTTCAAGCCAGCAGCGACTGGGGTTTGTTTTATGCGTAAAGATGATGAGCATGCGCTCGTCCAGACAACCAACAATTTTACCATCAGGCATCTGCTGCTTTGCTCAGTGCTCGGAGATTTTTGCACCTGATATTCCGTGTGTTTGTTTAATAGGGTTTATCTGTCATGTCTACTTTTTTTTCCTTGGAAATGAGCATCTTTTTTTCTGCGAGATGACATTACTGTGTTTAAAACCATTGGATAGGTTACATGATATACGTATACTTATTCATAGATAGATTCCTTGTGGTTACATAAATTAGAAATTAATTAAAAATATTAGCTATATGTTTATGTTCTTTGCCATTAAAGTATAGTTCATCCAAACAATCAAAATGCTGTCATGTACTCAACCTCATGTTGTTTCAAACCTGTATGACTTTATCGTCTGTGGAACTCAAAAAAACAGCTTCAGTCACCATTCACTATCATTTAATGAAACAAGATGTAATGAAAGCGAATGGAGACTCATGCTGCAAGTCCCCTATACATTACGCCAAGCATCTCCCTTTTTCTATCACAGAATATATAACAACATGAAGGAGAAGGAATGAAATAATTATTTCAGTAGCCTACTACAGCGGTTTATGCAGAAACTTGTTTGTCAGTCTCACGCTAACGGCAGTCAACAGTTTGCCGATTTAAGTTAAGTGTCTTTCATCGTTTGATATCCGTTTAGCTTTCCAGGAAAAAGGATGTTATGTATCAACGTTTCTTCTCTGAGACATTTAAGTTTCGACTGTTCCGCTCTCTGCCTAACACAAGAGAGAAAATGACGCTAGAGAAGCACTTTATAAACCTCAGAGTCGCCATCATGCGGAAAACTGGCGTAGAATCGCAGTCTGTTTGACGTATTGATTTAATTCCCGCGCTGATATTAATAGCATCCTACCTTGGCAACTGCTTCTTCACAACGTGTTTAATAACAAATCGTTCCCAAAAGTGAACTTTATGTTCACAAGACACTGTTTGGGCGTCTGAAAAGGTGCTGTGCAGCATTTAATGTTCTTTATTCGAGTTATTGTGATCCAACACAGAGATGCTGCTGATTAGGCTAAACCTTGTGACTCCTTCAAAGATGTCATATTATCCTTTTTAAGTAGTTTGTCTATTTATTGTTACTGAAACATAGTTATAATAATGTTATGTGGTTTGTGCCAACCTTGTTTGAGTTCAGAGTGAATATGAATTATTATTTTGACCAGAAAATAGCTTTATGCTCCTATAAAAACGTGTAGATGACCTAGCCTAAATTAAAGGTGCACTCAGTTTTGTTTTGTTTGTTTTTTTTACTTCTTAAAATGTGTTAGATATAATAAAACGAGTTTCTGACTAATATGATTAAAAGGTTATTTGTCATCACTTATATAAGAAAAGCTGCTTTATTGTACATGGATCGGATGGTCTTCTAATGGAGGCCACCATGTTGAGATCACATGACCAACAGTGTCATGCAATAGAATGCAACAGAGCCCAACCACTTTTTTTTCTGGATAGGGATTTTAAAAAAAGTATTTGTTAAAAGCCTTAAACCTGACCAGCCAGCTCACAAAAAAACAGAATTTGAAGCAAAAGTCAGACAAACGTACAAAACTGTGAACTTAAAGGGTTAGGCCTAGTTCACCCAAAAATGAAAATTCTGTCATTAATTATTTTCTGTTTTCGTTCAGATCAAATCACAACAACGTAAGAAACAGATCCGGCGTGGCGCAGCTGACACAGAACAGCATACGTTGTTTGGGTTATGCGGAGGAGACGAATTGTTGAATAAAGTCTGTATTTGTTTTTCTTTTGCGCACAAAAAGTATTCTCGTAGCTTCGTATAGTTGCGGTTGAACCACTGATGTCACATGGATTATTTTACAGATCTCCTTGCTACGTTTCTGGACTTGGGAACATTTCAGTTGCGTTGCTGTTAATGCAGGGTCAGACAGCTCTCAGCTTCCATCAAAAATATCTTAATTTGTGTTCCGAAGATGAACGAAGGTCTTACGGGTTTGAAACGACATGAGGATGAGTAATTAATGACAGAATTTTCATTTTTGGGTGAACTATCCTTTTAATGGCTTTAATGAGGGAAGGAAGTAGGCTACAATCCCATGAAGCATTGCAAGTTACATATATGAAAACAATAGATAAATATAAAACAACTGATTTAAAGATGTTGTTAAATATTACAAATTATATTACAAGTCATTTGAGAGTGTCAAGAGAAGACTCAATTATTTCCTGCTTGTTGTGATTCTCTGATTGGTCAGTTTTTTTTTGTTTGTTTTTTGCGTAATCATAGGTAATGTAGTTATATGTGATGTGGGCTAATAGCTTCAACAAAAATAATCAACAGCCTCGTAACTCACAGTCAATCTGTCTTCAAAGTTATCATTAAATCAGTTCCCCAATGGAGAAAATTAATGTGTTGTTTTGCTTCAGGAACACAACTGTTGAACTCAATTGGACCTGGTTACTAATAATAACAATAATAGTACTGTATTAATATTAATCATTTTATTTTTTAAAACACTTTTGTGTTTATAAACTATAAACATGTAAGTTCATGGTGACAAGAATGTCCGTGATCCACTAGACAGTCCAAAAAGAATCAGTACGAGTGGAAAAATAAAATGTCCACTCAAATGTCCATGTTGAAGTGATGACCCACAGCTACACAGAGTGAGGACAAACGGCAGGACGTCAAGTGGTGGCCATGGCCAGCACAACACCAAAATGTCTCAGTCTAAGACAGCAGCACTGCATTATAGAGGGAGAGACATACTGCGCACCAACACGAACCCCTAACAACGCACAAAATTTGTTGGGATGGAGTCCAAGAATGTGGATTTTATAGATGCGTGCATGAAATAAATGATAATTATTGACAAAAAGGAGCAAAAACACTGTGAACCTATTGGTGTCAGTATAAAATCCAGTAAAATGTAAACAAAAACTTACTGAGGGCACCTTTAATTTTCAGCAGCAACCACTTAATCACTGCAACTACATGGCAATCTAAAGTGAACAGTGGTTAGGACGGTTTATCACGTGATCCTGAAAGAAAATATCAGAAATGCCGCATCAGTTCTTCTTTTGACTACTAGCCAGTGATGGAAACTGACATAGCTGAAGATGTTACACCTTGGCTGTGTCTTCAGCCTGCAGTGCTCATTTCTGTGTGTAAGGACCGCAATTCAACAAAAGTCTAAGACCTTCCTGTGAACAGCTGTCCCTGTGCTGACAAAGCAGGATGCGGCATGGAGTTTGATGCTGTGCATGTCTGTCATCCTCTAAAGAACAGAGCATAGTTAGAGCAACGTTACCTAACAATCAACGACTCAGTGTTTGACAGAGTCATGCACACTTCATCCTTTATATTAGGTATGCACACTGTAACCTCATTCAGTGTATCTCATTTGCATAAATAATTTTACACTGGCAAGCTTTGGGTTTTCACCGAAAAGGAAATAATGTAAGATGCCTGATTTACTGCTAATACTTGCCTTGAGCAGAGCAGCCAATATAGATGCTTTCATCGGTCTTCCACTTAGACTTATTTATATATTTAATGGAGCATATAGCGAATTACATAGTAATGTCTATTGCAATTCATGAGTCTTGAGTAAGCACACTTCTTTTTTTCATGTGATTTCGATGATTTCATTAACTTCATAATTTAAAAAAATGTCAGTGTCTTAAAGGGAAAGCGTTACCCAAAAATAAAGACTTTAATCTTTTTTTTAATAAAATCTATTGTCTAAATCTATGTCATTGATCTTATTGTGAGTGATTTTTTTTAGTCCTGCCCTACATTTCTTTCCTTTTTTGATAATCTTTTTCACTCAGATATATGTCATAATACAGAATGTGTCATAATACAAAACACTCAATTATCATTTGAACAAGGGGCTTTTTTTTTTTGTTTATTGTACTTTAGTCTTTGGAGCTGCAATTGTCAAATAAAGAGCTGTACTTTTTTATTTCAAGAAAAAAGATCCATGGTAATGGATTAAAGCATGTTAAATCCCCACATCCCTAAATTTTTTTCCTGTTTATTCCAGATCCTTCATTAGATCTTATCTAAAGTCTGTGGACCTAATGAGGTTCTTGTAACCTCTTATGATCTTAATATAGTGTTTGTTCCATATTCATATTTAGCATTATACAGTTCTTCTCTTTCTCCAGGTGTGCCAACTCACAGAAACAGGAGCGAAAAAGTGGGACACTCTATTTAATCTAGAGTTTGGTGCTACACAGGTGTATATTTACTTCCTTTTTTAGGAAAAAAAATCTGCCCAATTCAGTGTGAGATGCACAATTTGCAGACCGGTCCCCACATCCATTTTAATTTCTAATCAAATTTAGTTTTTTTTTTGTTTGTTTGTTTTTTGGAACACTGCAGTGTTCCTAGATGTTATTCACTAATCTAAAAAAGCACTTATTCAGCACAAAGGTGCTTTTGGGCAATATGCGTATTGGTGTATTCAACACAAATTTGTGTTTTATTGAAAACCATCCCGCTACCTTTCCTTTCATTGTCATTGTATTTACATACCAATCACTCTGCTCTACCATTCATTTATTGGACCTACTTTAATATATCTGCATTTTAGCCCATGGTTCCTATGGCAACTCCTATTTGCATGAGAAAAAGAGTGGTTGGAGGGATGGTGTGTGTGTGTATGTGTTGCGGGAGCATGCAGCAGTGCATTGCGCCTCCTTCATTAATGCTAACGCTGTTTGGGCTAAATTTGTTCTGTTCAGTACCTCTGAGGGGTCAGGGCTCATTTATAGCAAAACACTCATCTCTCTTTTGGGAACAGCTGCATTTTTGCAGCTCAACAGAATGAGCCTGTGCATGT